AGAGCCAAAGATGTTAGAATTGTGTCGATGTCCCAATATTTCTGGACCTGACTGTAAATGACATAATTGCTCCTGAACAGATAGGCTTCTGCAAAGGGACTTCTACTATTGACCACTGCCTTATACTGAATTTCCTTATAGAAAAATAACTGAACCTAGGAAGGAAGAAGCTCTTTGTGGCATTTATTGATCTCAAAAGCACATTTGACTTAATTCCATTATTATGGACCAAACTGATGAATCAAGGAATTGACCCGAGACTCTTGTTTCTACTAAAGAAACTCGATACGGCTACCTCCTGTCAAGTAAAATATTCGTCTAAGGGCCACTTAACAGAGAGGATACCCACCCAGAAGGGGGTTAAGCAGGGCTGTGTTCTTGCCCCTCATCTCTTTAATCTCTTTTTGAATGACCTAGCACACCCCCTTAGATCCATTAATGGTCATCCTCCCAAGCTTGGTGGCCTTCCCACCCCATTACTACTTTATGCTGACAATACTACAATCTCCTCTTATACGAGAGTGGGTTTGCAAAGATATTTGGACACATTCTATAACTATTGTCAATGCAATTCACTATCAACTATTCAAAATCAAAGGTAATAACCTTTGCCAAAAGATGATGCTCACAGAGATGGTTCATGGGTAATACAGAAATTGAACAAGTTAAAAGTTTTAACTATCTTGGAATTACATTTAGCTATAATCTTTCTTGGGTCACTCATCACAACAAGACAATCCACTTGGCTAATTGTTTAGCTGCTCAGATTAAACAATGTTACTTCACAAGAGGAAATCAATATGTACCTGCAGCGATTAGAATATTTAATGCTAAACCTCTTTCTCAAATTTTATGGTATGCTCATTTGGCTGGGAGCTCTTAATTGCAAAGTCGAGGGTATCCAAGCAACTTTCTTGAGGCAGCTTTTGGGGGCTTCTAATTGTGTGTCCTATTTCACAGTCTGCTCAGAAACTGGTCAATGCCTGATAGAAACTAAAGCATGGTTAATAACAATCAAATATTGGCGTAGGATTTTATTTAGAGCTGCTCTTCGAAGCCTGTTATCACATCTTAATATGGAAAAATATATTTCGCTCTGGTCTCGGCATATTATGTCTAAACATAAGCAAATTGGGATTGCAATTGATGATTTATATCTATCGGATGAAACCTATGTATTTAGAATGATCAAACTGAGATTTTTAGATCTAGAATATCGCAAACTTGGACCTGCTCAGCCCTGTGTTTGTTCGCCTGGCATGTTAGGTATAGAAACTCACCTGGGTAAGATGTTGCATTATTTTTATGATCTTGAGGTTCCATCTCTGCGTAGGGCCTTCTTTTTGGCCAGAGTAAATTCTTTTTCTTCCGAGGTACTTTTCAGAAGGTACAAATGCATCCCCAATCATGAGAGGCTCTGTTTTTGTGGCACTCCTGATACATCATATAATTTTTGACTGCCACTTAGTTGAGACTCTCCGTTACAAACTGCTTTTAAAACCTTTGCAGGGCAAATATCTGCCAAATACTGTATCATCCTGCCAATATCTATTGAGAGATGCTGTGCCAGTAATTACCAGAATTGTTGCTAAATTCTTGGATGAAGCACTCAGAAGTAAATGCAAACAAATCTTGCAATGAGTATGGCTTACCCTTTGATCAATTTTCGACATGCCACTGTGTGTTTTATATTTTTTTCGTTCTTTTCATGCCAGTAAAGGTTTTGATTGACTGCAGACCCATGTGACACCTCTGCTCCACAAGGTGTATGCTCCCAGGTGTCATTCAAGGGGCTGCATATGACTTATAAAGGCCTATATGGTTATTTGAGGGACCACAGTGACTATCTGGCCAATATGAACTGACAGGTTGGTGTGCTTCAGGTCCCTTCAATTAAACAGTGTCATCTTTCAGGACTCAGGAGGCACACCTTCTCTGTTTCAGTGCCTTCCCTCTGAAATGAAGTTCCCCACTGCAATCCGGGTGGCATCCACTCTGATAATGCTCTGGAAGCCTTTGGTAAGGATGTTTGGACCCCTTCATGAGTTTTGTTGTTGGTTGGAATCACCATCTTGTTCTTTTATCTGCTTATTTGTTTCATTAATTTTCTTGAATTGTTTTATCCAGATCACACCATTTTAACAAATGTCCTTAGCACTCCCTTTTCTGCTGTCCAACCTGAGGATGATGCCCTTCCATTATCTAATAGCCCCAATTCTAAGGATGAGCCATCATACTCTTGGTTGCTTCTCAACCACACAGAAGACTGAAGCTTCAGAAAAGGCCACAGTCTCTTTAAGCCTAAGGAAGGACAAACCGAGGGGATTATATAGGATTTTTTTTTAACATAATGGATAATTAAACCTTGGAATTTGCTGCCATGCCATGTAGTGAAGGTTATCTGCTTGGCTGGCTTCAAAAAAGGATTGGACCAATTCATGGAAGTCATGGGGATCAATAGCTATTAGTCTTCATGGCAGTGTGACTACCTCCAAAGGCCATCTTCTGGGAGGCTAGTGGATTTCCTTGTGCAGTTTGTTGGCCACTGTGAAAACCGACTGCTGGACTAGATGTTCTTATTACTTGGCCTTATCACCTTCTTAAAGCCTCAGCTGGCGGCTACTCTTCTAAGAATGACTCTAACCTCATCTTGTGCAGTGAGCTCTCCATGGTACTGACAGTGCCTTCTCCTGCCAGAAGCCAAGCTTAATTTATTATTCTTTCCTCTCCCTTATCAACATCTGATTTATAGCCAGCTTCTTCAGGTCCCTCAGGCAGGTCAGGACAGCCAGAAGCTAGGACTCCTGAAAGCCAGAGGTTTGAACCATGTGAAATACAAGAGAAATGCATACTGCTATGTAGTTTTATTGTCTGGACAACTGAAAGACTAGAAAAATAAATACTGGGTTTTATCTCTAAAAAGACAGATACTCAAAGTTTATTTATATCCCAAAGTGTATTTATATTTATTTTCTTGTCTCTTTAAATTATTTTTAAATTGCAAACATTGACAGGATTGAGTTCATAAAACAATTTGTTAATGTAAGTTCATAAATCAGCAAGTAGATTCTGACCTATGGGGGTATGAAGGGAAGACACACAGTAAATACAGGTAAAAGGAAAAGGAACATATGGATTTATTTTAGATTTTATGAAACTTCTTATTTACCTTTTCTAAAATGAAACTTCTATTTACCTTTTCTAAAATGAAGTTCTAAGTACCTTCATTTTAAATAGGAAATGTCGATGGCAGCATATCACATTACCTCAGTTTTAAATTTCATCTTCCGTATTTCTAAATCTCTCACATAGTTCTCATTTTAGCAAGATATGAAAAGCTGCATATAAAACTCTGCAAAGTCAAATTTTCCCCAAATATGTTTATGCACAGATTCGTTTAAGACAAAGTAAGTTACATTTTCCTCAACAGTCTATAGCCAAAATCTAAAACTGTTAAATGGACCAATTTCTTCCCAAGGCCATTGCTGTGCAATCAGCCTGCCTTCATAGAGCTATGGAGTGTCAATTCCTTCCTAAATTCCAGAACAGGGTCCTCCTGAGTGTGATATGATACTGCTCCCATAAGCAGCAAAAGATTCCCCACCACCCCTCTCTGTTCAAGAGAGAAAAGCCACTGCCGTTGAAACATCTGAAGAAAGAAGTCCAGAGAAAAGGAGCAAGTAGTTGCTGGATAAGAGGCTGGAAATCAGTGGACTTCACTGATTACATCTATTCTAAATCTATCCTATTCTAGAAGAACAGGAATAAGTTAGCTAAGGATGGTGTAAAGTTTTACTTCTGTTAAAGTATGTGTTTTGAATGCCAGTCTGGTATAGCAGTATAGACATTAGCCTGAGTTCTAGTCCTGCCTTAGGCACATGTTGGGCCAGATAGTCTCTCTAGCCCTAAGAGGAAAGCAATGGCAAACTACTTCAGAAAATGTTGCCAAGAAAAGTGCATGGACTTTGTGACTCAAGAGTATGCACATGCACACATAAAGTGTGTATTTAAGTCTACTTTATTGTGTCTGGTCCATGCAGGTCAAATTCTTTTAGACTATAGAAAATGGAACTTGATTGTTAGAAAAATAATTCCTGGATAGAAAATTGTATGTGTTGGAGTAATGGGGAAAAGAAGGATGAATTTTTCATCTCCTCCCTTTGCAATCTTCATCAATACTGCCCTCTCTCTAGCACAGAGAAGAGGCATTTCAACACTGTATTGAGATGCAACCAGCAGTTACTTAAAAGAGTAATTTAAGATCTTACTTTGTCAGAGGAATCAGATGCCAATAGATTTGTAGCAAGAGTCTGAAGTTTCTGATGAGCCACATTTTTCAGTGCAGCAAGGCTACGTCTGGTCATGGCCTGCTTTAAGTTGACAGCTGGATGGCTGAGGGAATCAACTGCAGCAGGTACAGCTTCATCACAAGCATTCAGGATCTCAACAGCTGTTATTCCCATTACACACCGGTCAAGTGCACCTGGAGAAAAATACAAAAAAGGAGAAAAACTGACTTAGCTGCAGAAAGACCACATTGCACCTTTACAATGTGATAATTTTGGAAAATAACTTCCTTATGTTCAGAAACAATTTGCTTTAAAGAAGTGCATTCAATAAAAACATACAAATGAGGTGGGCTTAAAGAAGGAAGTTTGGAATTTATTTTCTTGGTGAATTCTAGAACTTCATTCTATCTATCTATCTATCTATCTATCTATCTATCTATCTATCTATCTATCTATCTATCTATCTATCTAT